CTCTCAGGAGGGCAGCCCCACACCTTCTGAGAGCAGAACAGGCTCCCTTTGTTTGCAGCAGGGACGGGGATTGAACGTTCTGTGACTCTGCCGGGTGTGGGAGGTTTGGGAACCCTTCCCCTTGGCCACCCGGCTCCAAGTCAGGGAGGGCCCCGAGCCAGGAGCGCTCAATTAGCCCTGTAATCACGAGCACAATGAGAGCAGCTGCTCTGTAATTGCCTCTGCCTCAGGCCATGGGCAGCTTAGCTGGGAGAAATTCCTTTTTTTTATTATCTGGGAGGGCTCTGAAGCCCAGGCGTGTTGTGGGGGGTGGTGGGAGTTACGAGGCTCCGTCTGCTCCCCTGCCCCTCTCCAGGCACCGCGGGCAGCATTCCTGGTGCTCTGAGCACTGCAAGATGTGGAGTGTGTAAAAACTCGCTTAAGAAAGGATGGTTTTTAACGTTTGATCTTTGTAAATTTCATGCCTCCAGAAAGGACATTTAATCTATGGATCAGAGAGCAGCCCATGAGCTCTGAGTGATGTCGAGGTGTAGGAAACACGGATTCCTAGTCGGTGGAATTGCCTTGTTAAGGGTTCGGGGCTGGACACATCTCAATGATCTCAGCCCTGGGGGACGGTATCACAGCTTGGGAGGAAGGATTTCCACTGGCAGTGGGCACAGGGAACGCAGTTTATGGGCCACACGGACACCTGGCAGAACCCCAAAGATGAGGAGGAAACTAATAATGACAACTCAGCAACTGGGCTGAATCAGCTCCCACTGGGTACAAGGTGACTCCAGCAGGGGCAGATTGTGACCCACAACATCAAGCCCCCCCCCCCGACCCAAAAAGAGAAGAACTGAGCACAGAACACACCGAGCACCCAGGGCTTGCTCAGTGCTGAAATAAACACCCAGTGTCTCTCGAATGTGTAATTGTTGGCTTGTTGCACAGCAGGTTATGAATCCCGTTTTTGTGGACAGCAGGGGGGCTGGTGTGTGCAGTTCCCTGGGGAGCTGCTGGCCTGGACCAGCTCCAACTCCCAAAAAAGGGCACAATTAACTTCAGCATTTGCCCATCTGATGATGAGGGGTCTGGAGCATCTCCCCGGTGCGCGAAGACGGTGGGAGCTGGGCCTGGTTAGTCTGGAGAGGAGAAGGCTGAGAGGGGATCCCCCTAGTCCACACCAATATTTCCAGGGGCTGTCAGAGGATGGTCCCACACTCTTTTTGGTGGTGCCCACGGACAGGACGAGGAGCAATGGCCGTAAACTCAAACACAACAAGTCCCCTCACCACGAGGGGACAGGACTTCTTTCCATGGAGGTGGCAGAGCCCGGAACAGCTGCTCAGGGAGGGTGTGGAGTCTCCCTGTCTGGAGACACTCCAGACCCACCTGGACACGTTCCTATGTCACCTGCTCCAGCCTTTCCCCAGGCTTGAAGGTTACAAAGATCAACCACCGAAGCAGCTCCTTTCCTAAGGAGACGTTTCCATAGTCCAGGTTTCCCAGCTCCGGGCGCTCCGGGACCCCCGGGATCGGGATCCCCCCCCCCGCCAGCCTCCACGTGGTGCGGGCCGGGCGGAAGCGGCGTCACCACTCTCCGTGCGCACGCGCGGCCGCCCCGGTCACGTGTTGCCGCGGCGCGTGGCCGTGCCGGGATTTGGGATCGGGATGTTCCGCATCGAGGGGCTCGGGCCCAAGATGGACCCGGAGGAGCTGCGGCGGAAGATGCGCCGGGACGTGCTCTCCTCCGTCCGCAACTTCCTCATCTATGTCGCGCTGCTGCGGATCAGTGAGTGACCGGGATGGGACCGGGGTGTCCCCGCGCCCCCGGGGTGTCCCGGCTCCGGGATGTCCCCGCGCCCCCTCCTGATCCGGGCTGTGTCCCGTCTGTTTCCCTCCCCAGCGCCGTTCATCCTGAAGAAGCTGGACAGTATCTGATCCCGCGGACCCGGCCCCGCAGCTGCTCCCCCCGGGCCACAGGCGGTGCCGGAGGGACACGGACAGCCCGGAATTCCCAGGATGTCCCGTCCAGCACGCGCAGCCGCGCAGTCCGAGGAGGGGAAGGTGCCTGTTGTCCCTGCGGGTGAATCCCGGGCGCAGAGGGGGCCCTGCTGTGATCCAGCAGCGCTTCGTGCCGAACGTTCCCCGTGCAGTGCGAGCAAAGCCCGTCCCCATCCCGCGGGACGCGTCCCGTTCTGGCAGGGACACAGCTCCGGGACCGGCTGTGCTGTGCCTGCCCCCCGCACCCCGTCCTGTGTCACACCCAGTCCCCGCCGAGTCCAGCCCAGAGCACTTTGTTTCAAATAAACGGGAGAGCAGTTGTGTCACGGTCCCTGGTCACGCTGGGTTTACAATAACCATCAGGCACTGAAATACCGCGGGGGGTGGTGTGGGATTATATCCCTGGCTGCGCCTGGAGTTCACCCACTCCTCCTTTGATCCACCCTGTGCGGAGGGAGGGCAGAGGAGGAGCAAGGGTGTCCAGGTGGGGCAGAGCAATCCAAGGGGGAAGGGCAGCCTGGCCTGTGGCAGCTCCCCCTGGCACCAGAACCTCGGGGGTCTGTCCCTCGGGTCACAGTCCTGAGTGCCTGTCCCCAGTGGGTGTTGGAAGGGCAGTTCAGGCTTGGAAACAGGGTGTCCATTTGGGAGTATAACCAAGTCACTTGGTCACTTCCCACCTGGAGCCTTGAGTGCCCACTGCACCCAGGGGAGTAGCCACCCGTGAGTGGCTCTGGATTCCAGTGGGAATGAAATCAGGGGTGTTCTTGAGCTCAGGTTGTGCTGTAGGTGCCTATTCTGGGGTGACCTGATGGCTGCTGAACCCAGGAGGAAGAGGCTTTTCCCTCTCTTGGCTCTTAGTAGTTGAATTTTCTGTCTGCTCTGGCCCAGGGACCTCTATCCCATGGTCCAGGTCCTGGTGCTGGGGACAGTCCTCACTCTATCTGCTGGACTTGGTGTGAGCCTATTCCAGGCTGGCTCCAGGGAGAAGATGGAGAACAAAGGTGTTCCCACATCCAGCATGTGACCCTGTCCACATGGGATCTCCAGGCACTCTCAGAGCAGCTGCTGCCGTGCCTTGGCATTTTCTGAAATTATGTTGCCATCACAATTCCTGTGCTCCCAGCACTAGCCAGGCATCTCTTCACTAATTCTTCCCACTTTCACCTCAAGTTTGGGTGTTCTGCTCCTACAGGGCATTGGGTTTGCTGATGGGGGGCTCTGTCATTCCCAGGGGCTGTCACATTGTCCCCCCCAGCAGCTCTGTGATTCCTCCACTCCTATGCTCAACACAAGGAGCTCCAAGGGGAGGGGTGTGGACCTTCCCAAAACTTAAGGGAACAGGGAATGTACAGGGGGAAGGAGCCCCTTGTCCTGCCATTACTGTGTGGTGTCCTGAGTGAGATGTGGCTGGGCCGGGCAGCCTCTGCACCTGGGAAGACACAGAAAGCTCCAAGAGAGGCCACTGGAGCAGTGGCTGGACATGAGCCCAGGTGTGCAAGAGGCCAGTGGCCCCTGAACTGTCCCAGCCATGGGGTGTCACAGCCCCAGGACAGTGCCCGTCCCTGTGCTGGCACTGCTGAGGCCCCTCATGTCCCATGTCCAGGTCTGGGCTCCTCAGACAGGAAGGACATGGAGGGGCTGGAGCGTGTCCAGGGAAGGCAACGGAGCTGGGAAGGGTCTGGAGCAGCAGGAGGGGCTGAGGGAGCTGGGGGGGCTCAGCCTGGAGAAAAGGAGGCTCAGGGGGGACCTTCTCACTCTCTCCAACTCCCTGACAGGAGGGGGGGGCCAGGGGGGGTCGGGCTCTGCTCCCAGGGAACAAGGGACAGGAGGAGAGGGAACGGCCTCCAGCTGTGCCAGGGGAGGCTCAGGTTGGACAATCAGGAGGAATTTCTCCCTGGAAAGGGTGGTCAGGCCTTGGCAGGGGCTGCCCAGGGAGGTTTGGAGTGCCCAGCCCTGGAGGTGTCCCAGGAAGGCCTGGCCGTGGCACTCAGTGCTCTGGGCTGGGGGACAAGGTGGGCATCGGGCACAGGGGGGACTCAGTCTTGGGGGTCTTTTCAACCCAAACCCAAATGACTCTGTGGGGAGGTGAGGCCATAGGGGAAGGAGCCCCCACCCCACCTCAGGCCCCCCAGCACGGCTGTGGTGTCACAGGGGAGACTGGGATTTACTAGGATTGGACTCTGGGCCCTATAGAATTACCATGGAGTCCTGGATCATAGTCACAGCCCGGGAGGGGGCACTGGGCCATACTGGAAGGTCTGGGCTCTACTGGGAGCAATAGTGGAAGAAATTATTGCAAAAATGGGGAAAAATGCATGAAAAAACAAGGGAAAGGGGGGAAAACGGGGCAAAAAGGGGTAAGAAGCTGGAAGAAAACCAGGGAAATTTGTGCAGAATAACGTGGTGAAATGGGGTAGAAAACAGCAGTGTGCTGCCCTGGCTCCCCCACCACCACTGCTGTATGGATCCAGTGCTTCCAGTATAGCACCAGTGCTGGCAGTAAAATGCCAGTCTGAACCACAGCTTTTCAGGTAGGATCACAGCATGGCCTCTACACTCCTAGTGTGGACCCAGCACTCCCAGTACAACACCAGCACAACATACACTTAAACCAAGATCCTGATATGATCCCCAGTGTTCCCAGTACAGAGCCACCCTCGGGCTGCCATTCTCCCAGTATGATCCCAGTATGGGCTACAAGGCCTCAAGTACACTTCCAGGGTTCCCAGTATGGCCCCAGACATGGGGACATGGGGCTCCAAGTACAGTTCCAGTGCACTCTCAGTACAGTCCCAAGGTTCCCAGGGCACTCCCAGCACAGACTCTAGAGCTCCCCCAATGCACTCATGGTGCTCCCAGTGTGGTCCCCAGCACTGCCATTACAGCCCCGCAAACACTTTTTGCTTTGCCCCATCCCAGTGCCTCCTTGGGCACCTCAAACCCTCTGAATTCCCCCCAAAAACAACATCACATCCTGCCATCACCTTTATTGGTGAGTGGGCGTGGGGGGGTCACAGGATCAGGCCCCCACCAGTGAACTCCATTCGCTGCCGAGAGAAGGGAGAGAGGAAGGGGGTGAGTGGGGGGACCCCAGAATCCCTGGGGGGCCCAGGACCCCTTTCCCTGGGGGATCCCCAGGACCCCTGCTCT